AAACGGCCGAACCTGTACAGTAGGTGAGATTGTATACTGTTCTCCAACTCAAATGTCCATTTTCTGTTTTTGTTGTATTTAAGCTTAAGCCGTGTGTCCTTACGTCCTTACTATATATAATAACACTTTCTTCTCTTCTCAGTGTCCACACCTTATCACTTTGAAGTGCGCATGGTCAAAGTTAACTTCACAGAAGACCTCAACAACAGAGATTCCTTAGCGTTCAGGACCCTGGCCTACAGGGTCACCACGGTGGTGAGTTGTTTTCAGATTGTATATATCTATTGAATGATTCTTTGCTGTGTTTAATTGTAAATTCTTGCATACTGTCAGTGTATTGGATATGTTAGAATATTCTCTTATTTTGTGCAAATTTCTTGTGGAACGTACCGTATCCTGGTTCTAGCTATTTATTGTGCAGGCGTAGCTTTTGTTTGTTTTGGGGCTATTTGAAGTGCTTCAAGTATGAAATAATGACGAAACTGGGCTGCTAAGAAATGGCAGTAATTGTTAATATCAGACAGATTTACTCATCCAGAATATATTTTTTTGCCCTGAAATTGCATTGAATGTCTTCAAGCCAAAAAGATGACCTCTTTGTTTGCCTCCAGATTTACACCTACCTGAAACAGAGCACCCTCGCTAACGTCATTCTGAGCGTCAGCATCACGAGGTTCCGTCCCGGCAGCGTCATCGCCGACTACAACGTCAACGTCAACTCCAGCGCCGCTGATGACGTCAACGGCACCGACATCGCCGCGGCCCTGCGGACAGCCATCAGGAACGACTCCACTAACAACGACAGTCTGGGGATACAACGGGCGTCACTGTGAGTTCGGGTTTTATGCTTTTGCTTACTTTTAGGCGGCAAGGTGGTCTTTTGTAGCCTGGAGTCCAGCCTTGTTAGCTGGCGCGCGGGGGATCTTGAGGAGCTGACTAAAGCTAACAAGGCTGGAATCCATGCTAGTCCTTGTGGTTAGGGTTGTTGACTCAGAATCTGAAGGTTCTTGGTTCGAATCCCTAGCAGACCCCACTGTTGTGTCCTTGGAAAAGACACCTTATCACATGTTTTTAGAATTATCTATTTTACTTTGTGACAGTAAGTTCCAAGCCCTAACGATCGACGTGCTAAGGTACAAAGTACGATATCATTGGTCGAAATGTTGTTAAGAGAGAAACAGTATTGCAACAGTATTCTTCATTTTGTAATCTCAAATGCATATCCATTTCAAGCATAAACCATTGCTGTATCAGGTTTGTATTGACCTGGAGTTCTTTTCTTTTCCTACAGGTGTCAAAAAGAGTCCGAAGACCAGATTTGCGGACAGGTGGACTACGAACTCTCCGTTGTTGTGAAACTGTTGGCAGCCATGGGGGGCTTCCTAGTGGTGATCCTTCTGACTGTCGTCTGCAAAGGGTCGTTAAAGGAGTCCTCCAAACGGAGCTCCAGACACAAGTGGTCCGTGTACAAGACAGAGGCTCATAACTACATGTACATTCCAAGAATAAGGTAATACCACAATCCTATGGTACCGTCTGTAGCTACACTGGGTCAATGATGTAGGCCAAACCTATGACGATGTTAAGACTCAATGAAGTACGTAAGTCCTCTCTCAATGCATGGTACCGGTGCTTGCAAATACATAGCCTTACAAGAAAGTGTTTTAGCTTGTCTGTTAGCCAGTCAGTCTGCCTGTCCTGTGACTGTGTGTGTGTGTATTCGTGTGTGTGTGTGTGTATTCGTGTGTGTGTGTGTGTGTGTGTGATTGTATGTTTGAGTGTATGCCTACGTGTGTTTGCATGTGTCTGTGTGTGTGTGTGTGTGTCTGTGCTTGTGGGCAGTTGTGTGCGTATGAGTGATTGTGTGTGTGTGATCGAACGTGTGTTTGAGCGTGTGTGGGATCGCGTTGTGGGGCTTGCCATAAAGCCTAATGTAAAGTGTTTTATATCTGCCTGTTCTTTCCATGTTCCCCAGCCGGCGCGGTTCCTACACCTCCTCCTCCAGCAGCCCGGATGACGTGTACGTCCTGCCGACGGGCGGCATGTACATCAAGCGGTACTTCCCGTCCCGCCCCACCATGTCCGGCTTCCAGTCCACACAGGCAGGCTCCGTACGGGCGCTATACAGCGAAGTCTTCGCCAGAAACCAACAGGTATATATATATGTAACGAAAAATAATTCCGTTTTGGGTGGCCCTGTTTCAATGGGAGTCTGTATGTATCTCATGCCGGCTCCGTTTGGGTTCTCTACAGCGAGGTTTTCTCCAGAAACGTACAGGTAGCCAACAAAAATAATACTTCCGGGATGAAAATATTGCTTTGGGTGGCCCCGTTTTGCTGTGAGTTTGCATGTATCGATACCGGCTCCGTACGGGCGCTGTACAGCAAGGGCTTCGCCAGAAACGTACAGGTATGTAACAAATAATGATACTTCCGGGACGGAAATATTGTTTTGGGTGGCTCTGTTTCACTGTGAGTTTGTATCGATTCCTGCTTCGTACGGGCGCTCTAGAGCGTCTAGAAGTCTTCTCTAGAAACGTACAGGTAACTAAAAAAATACTTCCGGGACGGAAATATTGTTTTATTTTAATCCATTGAGACACATCCCGGTGTAGAATATGGCAGAATTGTCCTTGTAGAAAATTACACAGAATATCATAATATTTAGGATTTTCCTAATACCTGATTCTTTTTTTAAATTCCAGTTAAGATGGATGAGGCCACGAACTATCCCCGATACTGAGGGAAGGGCGTCAACTTACCGAAACTTCTTCAGGACACCCTCGTCTCTAGATCTCTCAGACGTTTAACTCCTTAATTCTGAGCGGTATTTTGCAAGAACACGCCAAGGTGTCCGTATTGCCAAATTAATTGTTGATAAACTGTTACACGATACAAACGTTTTTATGGTATACAGCCAAATGTCATGTCATACTATTCCTAATACATGTGCCTAAAACATATATTTGGGGGCAATTGATACGTTAATACCTATTAGTATTTAGTTAACGTTCCTCTACCTTACTTATAATTTGTTTTTACTTTTGTCCGAGTATAAGCAAAATATTTATGACATATACATTCAGGAAATGAATAATGACATATACATTCATGAAATGAAATGAATGATGTAAAAGTTATATAACATGGTGTATTATCATATTGATGTTTATCTTTGTAGTGACTATAAAAGTTGTACTCAATTGTATCATTGTACCATTTTTCATGTGTTTTGTTATGATTTTTAGCCAACATTACAGACGTTAATATTATTTGATAATGAGACTTTGTAATTTACATTTTAATCGTTCAATATATAATTTGATCATGTATGTATGGTTATGTACCCTTAAGTGTAACTTGAGTTCATAAATAGGAAAATAATGTACAGCAAATTATACACTGGTAATATCATAGGCTTAGAAAGTCTATATAACAATTCTATGCTTTGTGCTGAGTATCACATTCAATGGTTCTGTCGTTGTGTGTTCTGTGTTGGGTGGCAAGTAATGTGCATTTGCAACATACAGGGCTAAGGCCTGTTGTTATACCCATTTTGTGCATCAGACCTTTCTAGAACTCCTGGTGTTACCTGGCCTTATACGTGAATGAGAAGTTGAGGAAAAAGGCAAAGTTGTCAAAGTAAATCGGACAAGGTCTGCTCTAAGAAACACGTCATCCCGTAGTTTTGTTTATGAAGAAGACAATCCCGTCATCCTCTCGCTCACGTCCCAAAGCTGACGCGCCACTACGTCATCCGTGGCCTTCTGGGAAGGCTGCTTGACGTCACAGTCACTGGGGAAGGCAAACATTACGTCATTGTGACATCGTTTCTCAATGAAAAAGAAAGCTATAGAACAGGAATGCGCGACGCGCAAGAATTATTTTTGAGGTTTAGACCCCAAGTGACTGGAGCGATAAGCTAGTCAAAGTAAAGATACCTGCAGTACAGGTCAAACTCGCTAGAGACTTCTCCGCGGAACTTCATTTTCAAGTAGGTATAGCAAAACATAGGAAAGCAAACCAAGGCCAAATTAAGGCACACGCAAACACAGAAGTGATGCAGGTACCTAGGTTTTCAAGATTTAGCTACCTGTAATACAGGCCAGACTCGCTAGTGAGCGTCTCTTCAACCGCACTTCTTTTCATGTAGATATAGAAAACATATAGCAAACTAAGGCGAAACAAGGAGAAGTCAGGGACATCTTCCCTCCATGGAGGAGGTTGGTGTTGTAAGGTTTTATTTATGTTATCACCTGTATTCATTGTATATGGAAGGTATGTTCAGATGAAGATGAAGAATGGTTAGAAGAAGGCAGATGGGTTTAAATGTAATTTGACGTTATATGGCCATGAATATCATTAACAGCACTAACAGACCTATAATAAAACCAGCCAACCAACCATAGTGAAGAGGTGAGGTCAATGACCTCTCAAGCACCCCATTCAACGGGACTATATTTCCTTCAGTCTCTGTCTAGGGGTAAAAATAGATTGGGCTGCCTCAGCCTGGCCTGCCAGCTGGAGGTATATAAACAAAAACACTCTAGATCTGTCCCAACTTTTGGGTCAAACAGACCATCCTATTATGAAGTAGGGGTGAAAAAAATGAAAATCCTTTTAAATTAAGCAATAAAAATATACGACAACCTGCTAATGCACTCTAAAACGCAAAGAGACTCAACAACTACCCACATACCAAATATTATACCAAACGACCCACCAGATTTTCCAAACATTCAACACAAAAAGACCAACTTTAAACATATTGTAAATATCAAACGCAAACAGCTAGGAAGCCCAAATTTAAACCACTAAACCATGGTAATAACAACTACATGCTACCTTAATATCGCACAAACAGTCCATAACGCGCAAACAACAGAATAAAAAATTAAACTGCAGTA